ACAAAATCAATTTGTTAGATTCTACGGTGCCACAAGTACTCCTCATTGTTTTTGCAAAAACTAATTTCCCCTTGCTAAATACTCACACCTTGTCAACTGTTTGAAATGGGCCACCTTGTTTACATTGGCCTTATTAACACTACAAAAGTGATTTTGACTCCTCCTTGTCAACCGTTGAGAATTGCCTACTTCCAACTTAAACTGAATTGGCTCGTTAGTTCTGACCCCTCACTTGTTAAGGCAACTTCTATCTTTTCATATTTTGTGTATTTATACCTCCCTAATGTATGTTCCACTCCATGCATCTGATAAAGTGGGTTTTAGCCCATGAAAGCTTATGCCCAAATAAATTTGTTAGTCTCTAAAGTGCCACAAGGACTCCTCATTGTTTTTGCTGATACAGACTAACACGGCTACCCCTCTGAAACCTGTCACAGAGCATTGTTTCTTTACTGTTGATAGCCCTTCTGTTTCAGCCTCTTGTTTTTGTTTCTTTTCATTCAGTTTATGTTTAGCGCTTTCCATGTGTTCTACAACTGTCTGCCTTTGAACGTAATCCACACCTTGCTGCGTACAGAACAGCACACTACTATCAATGTGAAATTTGTACTTTCCAAACTCTGTGACATGGTCTTTAGGGGGTGATTTTTAAAATTTTTGGCATCTTTCCATAACTTTAATTACTCATGTCTGCAGGCTGAAGTGAAATTTGAGATGCATTAAAACATGAACCCCTATACATCACTGAGTAACCTCTATATGCTGGAAGCGAAAATCAGTTACAAGTGTGGGAGGTCATGTGCATTGAATACATGACACTGAGACTGTTAGTAAAATTTAGTTAATATACGTTTTTATTTTTTCACAAAATGTAAAAACTCAAGATTCTCTGTAAAAACACAAATTCTGCGTTTTTCCGCGGCAAATGGATTTCTAGGATCCCTGCTTATAAGGAAGAGCACTCTTTACTGAACCAAAAACACCCTGGGTTTTCCTAGAGAGTCTCTCATCCAAATGATGACCAAACCTTCTTGCCTTGTATGTTTGCTAGGACAACAACCCAAGGTGGAAGGTAATTGCATAGAAAAGTTCTTTTAACATCGTAAGTCATAACAGTGATACTTGAATAGTTTACTACTAGATCCTCCTTCTAAATATTGAATTTTTAAACTGTTCACCTTTTGAGGATGCTTTATTTTAATATCATTATTTTTATGTATATATTTACATTGTTTTAATTCCCACAATGTGCTTTCCAACCCTCTAAAAAAACATGGTTCCTTCCTAACCCAAATAGTTCACAGATTTTAAAAACTTCTTGTCCTTCTCCAGTCTCATTTGGCTCCTGTTGCTTTTAGTCCCATTCTCCATAATATTTTTCTATGTAGATTTTTTTTAATTAAGCTGATAATCCAGGCAGACAGTGAGGAAAGCATTACTGAAATCAGTTAATCTGTAAAATGTCTTTTATTTGGCTTCATTCAGGCCTGGCTGCAGTATAAAAAAAAGTTCTTCACCCAGGGCCTAGCCAGCTTTGTAAATTTCATTTTTGGAAAACTTAACTGTTCCCAAGAAACTACTAGCTCCCCTTCGCATTATGTCTGTTTACCATTCTGCCTTTTTTAACAGTAATATCTTATTGCTTGTTACTGCTTTTGAGTGTGAATGATAAGCATATATAATGTAATATTTAGAAGGGCATTAGTTTCTTCTTCAATAATGGTCAGACATGGCAACCAAAAATAGATATTTGCTGAATTTTTTTAAGTGTACACCTCAAATGTTGTCTCTTCAGTATATCAATAATGCAAAAACAGCAGCAGCAGCTTCACAAAGGCTTGATCTTTTTTAGTCCCACTGGAAGAGGGAAAGAGATGCTGACATTATGGCCAGGAGGTACAGAAGGGAGGAGCAAGTGGCTCACTATCATGCTCACCAAACCACATTTTCCCCACACCTGTCCTGTAGCCTGCAAAGGCTCCTTCACAATTCCACAGGATTTGGTATGGTACTTGCTCTATATTGATGACATCTTCATCATCTGGACCCATGGAAAAGAAGCCCTTGAGGAATTCCACCATGATTTCAACAATTTCCATCCCACCATCAACCTCAGCCTGGACCCGTCCACATAAGAGATCCACTTTCTGGACACTACAGTGCTAATAAGCGATGGTCACATAAACACCACCCTATACTGGAAACCTACTAACCGCTATTCCTACCTACATGCCTCCAGCTTTCATCCAGACCACACCATACGATCCATCGTCTACAGCCAAACTCTACGATACAACCGCATTTGCTCCAACCCCTCAGACAGAGACAAACACCTCCAAGATCTCTATCAAGCATTCTTACAACTACAATACCCACCTGCTGAAGTGAAGAAACAAATTGACAGAGCCAGAAGAGTACCCAGAAGTCACCTACTACAGGACAGGCCCAACAAAGGAAATAACAGAACGCCACTAGCCGTCACCTTCAGCCCCCAACTAAAACCTCTCCAATGCATCATCAAGGATCTACAACCTATCCTGAAGGACGACCCATTACTCTCACAGATCTTGGGAGACAGGCCAGTCCTTCCCTACAGACAGCCCCTCAACCTGAAGCAAATACTCACCAGCAACCACACACCACACCACAGAACCACTAACCCAGGAACCTATCCTTGCAACAAAGCCCGTTGCCAACTGTGTCCACATATCTATTCAGAGGACACCATCATAGGGCCTAATCACATCAGCCACACTATCAGAGGCTCGTTCACCTGCACATCTACCAATGTGATATACGCCATCATGTGCCAGCAATGCCCCTCTGCCATGTACATTGGTCAGACCAGACAGTCTCTACGTAAAAGAATAAATGGACCCAAATCAGATGTCAAGAATTATAACATTCATAAACCAGTTGGAGAACACTTCAGTCTCCCTGGTCACTCAATTACAGACCTAAAAGTCGCCATATTACAACAAAAAGACTTCAAAAACAGACTCCAACGAGAGACTGCTGAATTGGAATTAATTTGCAAACTGGATACAATTAACTTAGGCTTGAATAGAGACTGGGAGTGGATGGGTCATTACACAAAGTAAAACTATTTCCCCATGTTTATTCACCCCCCTCCACCCACCGCTGTTCCTCAGACGTTCTTGTTAACTGCTGGCAATGGCCCACCTTGATTATCGCTACAAAAGGTTTTCTCCCCCCCCCCCCCCCCCGGGCTCTCCTGCTGGTAATAGCTCATCTTAAGTGATCACTCTCCTTACAGTGTGTATGATAACACCCATTTTTTCATGTTCTGTGTGTATATAAATCTCCTCACTGTATTTTCCATGCATCCGATGAAGTGAGCTGTAGCTCACGAAAGCTTATGCTCAAATAAATTGGTTAGTCTCTAAGGTGCCACAAGTACTCCTTTTCTTTTTTCAGAAGTTAATGTTGCTGAAAGCATCTGGGTTTCACCCTCATCTCCATAAGGAGTATGGCCTTTAGTTTAGTAGGGAAAACTCGTATGATGAAGTTTTCAATACTACTGAAGATTTTATTAATCTGTACCCAAGACCTCTCTTTCCAATGAAGACTCCGGCACTGTAGTGTGCACATCACAACCTCCTTTCAATGTTAGAACCTGTGTTTGATTGTGTGGGTTTGTGTGTGCATCTATCCATTATTTTTTGTTGTTGGACACTGTGTCGCAGCTGTACCCAGATGTACACTCAGAATCTGAAAACAATATAAAAATGAATCTCTCCCAGACTTCTTTTATTTTTCTAGGTGCCGGAATGGATTCTACCTTAAAGAATTTAGAGAGAGAATTTTTCTTTAGACTTCTGCTACAATTTTCAAAGAGCCTGAGGGAGTTAGGTACTCAAATGATATTTAATTTCAATGGAAGTTGGGCACTTAGCTCCCTCCAACTCCTTTGAAGATCACAGCTTTTTAGTATACCCCATCTGAGATGTCACTGAAGGTAGATGTGTAGATGGGAACTTCACACTGAAGCTACTACATCAGAAATTAATATACATTGCAAAGCAAAAGTGTGGGCTTTTTAAAATGATAAATGTTAAATTTGTTGGATTTTTTTCTCCCCATGTGGTTTCTGGTTTGTGCCTTAAGGAGGATTTACTGATAGGAACATTTTCCCCATCCATCTACAAAGTAACTTGCAAAAGAGCCCTGCTCTGAAAAATTGGAGTGGGTTTGAAGTGGGTTTGATATAGTCATTTATAGTTTCGTAAAAAGTTTCTATTAGATTTCTGAGGGGAGATGCTGGCTTTTGTGGCTTTGTTATCTCCACAAATACAACCCAAATCCAGAAGAGCATCTGATTTCAGTGTTTTGCCAGAGTGAACGTTTATTTGTCCTGTCAGATAGATGGTAGTGGTGATGGTGAAGATATTTGTTCTGAGATAAGCTGTACCTGGAATTTCCTCAGTCCTGGTCAAGTGGCTTTCTGTCCACTTCTAAATTTTTAATCTGGCCATTTAAAAATATGTAACTTTTGTCAGGCCTGCTGTAAATCTGTCAAAATTTTGACTTTTGTTATTCACACTTGTCTTTGCAAATTCTAATGTTTACTAATGGTTTGATCAAAAAATATCAAAGATTTTTGAAATTGCTGATCATTTGCAAATGGAGTTAGCCAGTTCTTTTTACACAGCTTTTTTTTTTTTGGGGGGGGGGGGGGGATCTGATTGTACCCTAGTTTTTGAAAATTATTACCAGGAGCATTTCTGCTGTACTTGGAAGAAACATAGATGAATGAAGTGTATTAATGACTGTGCAGTGCTGTCTTTTCTTGCTGTTGTTAATAGTAATCGTCTTTTTCCCCCCTTTTCCTGCTGCCTTTTTCCTTCCTCCCCTTCCCATGTACTTTTTGAATTTATTCAATTGGTCTGTGTATATTTTTTTCCTGCCTTTTGCTTTTCTTTTATCTCCCACCCTGCTCTTGTCTTCCCCTCTTGCTTGCTTGTGTTCCATGTTGCCAGCTTTTATGTTCGCATGCTCATTATCACCCTTTTTTGTACTTCAAATCCCAGCAGCTGTCCAGCCAGGTCCCAGAGCACAGCCCTGTGGTTTACGGGACTGTGGAGAACACTCATCTTGCCGCCAGCACTCCTGTGACTGCAACTAGCGACCCGAAGCAAGGTTTGTTAATGGATATTTTTTCCCTGGTATTTTTAGTCATTTGTCTCCTCTCTTATAAGTCTGACTTTTTATACACCTGTAAGCAAGCAGGGTGGCCAGTACCAGAAATAGAAGCTTCTCTTTTGAACCTTTGACAAAGCTGGTGTATTATTTATAGATTCATTGCAATTTGGCAAACAGAATTGAGTAAAAACTGTTTCATTAAAATTCATTCTTCCAAAACATTGTTCCAGAGCAGCTGGTAGTGTGAACCTCCTTTTTCCTTCTCCAAATGATCCTTTCTTCAAAACCAGCAAAATTATTGCCAATAAAATGGTCACTTGGACAGAGGAACTTCTTAAGTAAATCATTTAAACATACATTTAGCCACAGAGATATCACTTACCCACCACATCGTAATGGTTCCTGTAGAGCTGTTTGTTCATCATGTCTTGCCAGCATCCTCAGTACATCTGTAGAAGATATTAATTAGAAAATTGTTATTGCTATTGTGCAAATTGTGCAGTAAAGGCTTGCCAAATTTCACTTTCTACTTAGAGCTATTTTCAAATTGTGCAGGTGAAAATGATTAAATTTAATTCTTCTCGTATCTAAAAAAATATGAATGGAGTTTTTAAAATTTGTATTTGAAATAGAAATTATCCTCGGACTTGAGACACTGCATGCAAGTTCCTTCCCACAATGAAATTTTACATCCAGTTAGAAACCCTTAAAAACTTGGGTTTATAATGTAAGTGCTATGCTCTGCAGTGTTAAGTGTAATTTGTAATATATAGCCCGAGCATTCCAGTTCTCCACGTTCATTCATAGCATTTAGGGTTCTGCCTACAGCCGTGGGTACTTGAAAATTGAGAAGCACTATCTTTTTCTTTGTGCACTTCCCAAAAGCTTTGTGCCTAAGTAGATTTTAAAAAGTTATTGCTAAAAGAAGAAACACTAACCACAAAAGAGTTAAAATTGTAGCCAGGGAGGAAAAAGAAGCTGGCTTTTAATTTTTCAGAGATACCATACATCCCGGTTCTAGCATGACCACTGGTTGACAGAAGGGGAAGTAAAATGTCCCTGAAAATGTTGCGATTGGCAGGCACAAATTAGATGTTTGTTTTTTCATCAGTTTAAGTATATTCTGTAAATGTAAGTGTAGAGTATTAAAATTCTATGTGTAAAAATTCCATATCCTTCCTTTATGAAAAAGTTGTGGATAAATTTAACATCATAGAATCATAGAATATCAGGGTTGGAAGGGACCTCAGGAGGTCATCTAGTCCAACCCCCTGCTCAAAGCAGGACCAATCCCCAATTAAATCATCCCAGCCAGGGCTTTGTCAAGCCTGACCTTAAAATCTTCTAAGGAAGGAGATTCTACCACCTCCCTAGGTAACGCATTCCAGTGTTTCACCTAAGTTTTTCCTAATATCCAACCTAAACCTCCCCCACTGCAACTTGAAATGAATGAAACTGATGAAACATGCATGAAACTGATACTTGATTGCATTGGCCAAACATAGCACAAGTAGTCCTTACTGCACCTTATTCCTGACCCCCAACATGGCTCCTGCTCCAGATCTGGACCCACTTCCCATCTCTGCAAAAGCACCATAATCCTGATCATCATGCTTGCGACTTCAGTCTTGGACTTTCTATGAAAGTAATGGTTGGCGATCCCTCAGAGTTCGAGGATGATTGTCTTCCATGAAATGATAGCCAGCTATTGCTGGTGGATCTGCACATAACTCATAAGACCAGTCCGGGATCCACATATTTTGTCATAATTGGGGCAGACTTTTCCTGGTGAAAGGGGCAGATCTGGATTGTTGAGTTGTGCTGTGATGCATTCTTTCCTGTTTCTCCATTGAGTCTCATAATGCTGGAATCCTTGCCATAAGGTCCTTCTCCATTTTAGTCCATCGATCGGCTTGGGTTTCCCATGACTTAGTGGATGTTGTACTTCTTCATGTTGGCTTTGAGGGTGTCTTTGAAGTGCCTTTCCTCTCCCCCTCCCCGCCCCCCATTTGTTGGCCTTGGCCAAGTTATGAGAAAATGACCTGCTACAGGAATCGATTATCTGGCATTCGAAGAATGTCACCAGCCCAATTAAGTTGGTAATGGATAATCATAGCTTCAATGCAGGAATTTTTGGCTTGGGACAAAATGCTGATGTTGGCGCATTGATCATCCCTTGATTTGGAAGGTCTTGTGCAGACAATATTAATGGGATCATTCAAGAGCCTTAAGGTGTCTATTATACGTGACCCAGGTCTTGGCACTGTGCAGGAGAACAGGAATAATGATGGCCTGCTACATGAGAAGCTTGGTTTGGTTCTTGAAGTCATGATTCTCCAAAGACACATTTTCTCAAGTGCCCTAGCATATTGGAGGCGGTATTGAATCTCCTTTTTCAAAGTCGTCTTTCTGCGACAGATGGCTACCGAGGTAATGGAAGTGCTTGACATTATCTAGGTCTCATTCTTGATCTTTGATTGAGGGAGCAGAATTGTGGTGGTTCGGAGTCCATTGGTGGAGCTCTTTAGTTTTCTTGGTGTTGAGTGTTAGGCCTAGTTGATTGTAGGCCTCAGAGAAGATGTCAGATGTTTTTTGAAGATCTTCTTCCAAGTGGGTGCACAGGGCACAGTCATTCAGTGAGTGATTTAGTGATAGTCTTTGTCTTGAATGGGAGGCAATTGAAGTTGAAGGCTTGCTATCCATTCTGTATTGAATATCAAGTGCAGAGGTGAGCTTGTCAACGATGAGAAAGAGGGTAACAGCAAGGAAGATGAAGAAGAGGGTTGGAGCGATGACACAGCCTTGCTTGACTCCTGTCTTTAGTACAAAGTCCGTTTTTGATCAATTGGTGATATCCATCACGGACATGTTGTAACAGAGGAGTTGGAGAATGGCAAATTTTGGCAGGCATCCAAACTTGAGGAGAATTCTCCACAGAGCCTCACAACTGATGGAATCAAATGCTTTCATGAGTTTGATGAAGACTATGTAGGGAGGTTGATGATGTTCTTTGCACTTTACCGTTCGCCAACTTCAGGAAAAGATCATATCCTTGGTACCTTGAGATGGTCTGAATCTGCATTGTGATTCTGGGAGGATTTCCTTGGCAAGAGGGAGCAGCCAGTTAAGAATGCTGGTGAGGATCTTTCTGGAAGTGGACAGCAGGGCAATTCATTGGTCGTTTCCACAATCCGATTTTTCTACTTTCTTGAAGATGGTCGTGGTCATGATAATGGAATCCCTATGGTCAGCTAGGTTTTCTTCTGAATGCCAGATCTTGAGGATTAGGGTGTGAAGCTGGCAAGCCAGTTCTTCTCCTCCTCCTTTGAAGATTTTAGCAGGGATACTGTCAGGTCCAGATGCCTTATTGTTCTTCATCTGTTTGATGGCTTTCTTTACCTCAACAAGTGTTGGTGGTGTTCTGAGGTCATCCTTAATAGGATGTTGGGGGATTGAGTCAAAAATGCTTTCATCAATATTGGAGTCACTATTTAGAAGGTCTTGAAAGTTTTCCTTCCATTGTGCATTGACCAATTTGTTGTAAAATAGTATATCAAAGTGTGTGGTAGCTTTGTGATGTGAACAAATGGTGAATGTGATAGTCAATCTCATTTCCACTTGTGAGTCATCCAGGATTTGAAAACAACTTTCTTGTCATGAAACTACAGTACACTAGCCATTATTGAGAACTGTCCCCCCTCACATTTTTAATGCCTGTATTTCATTTTTAAATCAACAGTTTAAAGAATAGTTGCAGTAACTAGGAAGTGATTAAAACCAATTAATGATATCTCAGGCCTTGTCTAAACAGGAAAGTTTTACCAATTAGACCGATCTAGTTATACCAGTATAATCCTCTGTTTGGACAGTTTAATTGGGTCCAATGTAAGAGTGGCTTTTTCAGTTAAATTTAGGAAGGAGATTTAAGCAACATGAACTAAACTGGGGGGAAAAAGCACTCCCATTGGAATATGAGTCTCCACATGAGGGGCTATGCTGGTATAACTATCGGTTTAAATTCAAATCTAAGTTTATACTGCCATAACTTTCCTGTGTAGATAAGCCCTCAGATTATATACAAAAAAAGAAAGACCAACGTTAGAACAGATTAGAACATAATTATATTACAAGTGTAATTATAACTGATTAGGTACAAAAATGAAAATCCAGGACTTTGAGATATACTGATGATATACTTCACGAACAAGGTCAGCTCCCAGACTGCTGCACTGGACAGCACAGCATGGGGAGGAGGTGACCAGAAGGGCAACAAAAATGATTAGGGGTCTGGAACACATGAGTTATGAGGAGAGGCTGAGGGAGCTGGGATTGTTTAGCCTGCAGAAGAGAAGAATGAGGGGGGATTTGATAGCTGCTTTCAACTACCTGAAAGGGGGTTCCAAAGAGGATGGCTCTAGACTGTTCTCAATGGTATCAGATGACAGAACGAGGAGTAATGGTCTCAAGCTGCAGTGGGGGAGGTTTAGATTGGATATTAGGAAAAACTTTTTCACTAAGAGGGTGGTGAAACACTGGAATGCGTTACCTAGGGAGGTGGTAGAATCTCCTTCCTTAGAGGTTTTTAAGGTCAGGCTTGACAAAGCCCTGGCTGGGATGATTTAACTGGGAATTGGTCCTGCTTTGAGCAGGGGGGTTGGACTAGATGACCTTCTGGGGTCCCTTCCAACCCTTATATTCTATGATTCTATGATTCTAATGGTCTCAAGTTGCAGTGGGGGAGGTTCAGTTTGGAAATTAGGAAAAACTTTTCCACTAGGAGGGTGGTGAAACACTGGAATGCGTTGCCTAGGGAGGTGGTGGAATCTCCTTCCTTAGAAGTTTTTAAGGTCAGGCTTGACAAAGCCCTGGCTGGGATGATTTAATTGGGTATGGGTCCTGCTTTGAGCAGGGGGTTGGACTAGATGACCTCCTGAGGTCCCTTCCAACCCTGATATTCTATGATTCTATGATGAAAAGTGCTATATAAGAGCAGTTAG